GTTTTGTTAATCCCTTTGTTTTCCTTCCCCTGTTGTTGTATAGTTGTTTGGTAATAGTTAGTAACATAAAATTAGCCAAAAAAAGAGAGAAGTTGCCCACTTCTGCTTAAATATAGTCGAATCATTTTAACATTTTAATTTTTTTTGAACTTTATATTTTGTATATGTCCATAATTTATATTGTGCAATGTTCTGATACAAATTAAAAAAAAGACATATTAAAAAGGAAACTTCACTTTATACTTGTAACATAAAATTAGCCAAAAAAAGAGAGAAGTTGCCCACTTCTGCTTAAATATAGTCGAATCATTTTAACATTTTAATTTTTTTTGAACTTTATATTTTGTATATGTCCATAATTTATATTGTGCAATGTTCTGATACAAATTAAAAAAAAGACATATTAAAAAGGAAACTTCACTTTATACTTCTACATTCACACACACACACACACACACACACACACACACACACACACACAGAGAGAGAGAGAGAGAGAGAGAGAGAGAGAGAGAGAGAGAGAGAGAGCTTCCCTGGACAAGTTCTGAATTATCTGGAGACAGAAGTTATGGGTGAGTTTTCTGGTTCTTTTTTTAAAATTATTCTTTCATTATGTTCTACGCCACTTTTCTACCAAGACAGCTTCAGGGAGCTTTTTTCCTGATTTCTTGCAGCAAAAGAATGTTACTTTAGAAAAAGCACCACTGATCTTTGTTTGGTTGGTTATAATGAAAACCAGGAGCTTGTGATTCTTCTAGCTTGGCCAGGAGGCAGAATATTTCCTGCACCCTCAGAAGACATGTGCTTCTCAGCTGAGCCTTCCAACTGGGTGTGCAAGAATGTAGTGAAAGAGACAGTTGGTTGACAAGTTTGGATGGCTGGGCAGACTCACCTGCAGTATTTCTATCCCACATCCATAGCCCTGTGAATTATGTTGGAGGTTGTAACAGGCTGGGGTCGGGGCCAAGAATCTTAGTTAGAAGGTTGCTCAGGCCAGCCATATGTTGGGTTAGCCCTATGGCAGCTGTCAGTGCTGGGGACGCCCACAGATTGGGAAAGTGGCCAAAGCTTGAGATAATTGCTTGGCGTGAAGAGGAAATCAAGGCTGTTGGCAGAATTGGTTGCACCACGAGGTTTATTGTTATTCACGGAGGCAGGCACAACCAAGCCACCATTAGTCATCTTTGTGTTGTCACTGGTTTGGAAAGCTTTTTGTGTTCCCACGCGGAAAGGACTGGGTGATTGATTCCAACTGCTGCTAGCTTGTGATCAGCCAGACATTGAAAGGCTAAATTTTTGTGTGTTGCATGGAAATCTTGTGATTTTTTGACCACCCTGAGCTTAACAACAGCCACATTTTGTTAGGCAAGAGAAAAGTTCAGGAACTTGTTTTTAAAGAAATAATCAGCCACAGGTACAATGGAACCTGGATACGTTATTATTTGGGTGACAAACAGCAAAAGCTGCCTGAGGGACTCGGGGAGTTATTGTTCAAAAAAGCAACTTTTCTGAGCTTTAGTGACATTTCCAAGACCTGGCCCTCCAAAGCGTTTAGTAGTTGGTAGAGTTCAAGCTTTATTAAAAAATGGTTTATTTCCTCATTATTACAGTATAACTGTAATAGTTACTTTTTCATTATTTGGGGGAGGGAATGCATCTGGATATCATCATCATCATCATCGAACTGCAGAGCTGGAAGGAACGCAATGAATCCTCAAGTCCAGCCCCTGTCAAGGAGGCACAGTGAGAAATCAAACCCCCTAACTTCTGTCTCTCCAGCCAGATACCTAAACTACCAAATATGGTGTTGTCCAATGATATTCATGTTGATGGTCTCATCATCAAAGCAGCAGAGTGAAGAAAGCTGACAGGAAAGAAGTTGATTTGCTTGAAATATTGTGCAGGACAAGAGCTTTGTGGATACCCTGGGCTGCCAGAAAGAGGAACCAATGGGTCCTAGATCAAACCAATCCTGTTCTTTTCTCTGGAAGCAAAATTGATCAGGCAGAGGATGTCATTGTCAGTAATTGGTCTCATAAATGACCAATTACTGTCATACTTTGAGAACATTATGAGCAGGCTTTTTTCTCTGGAAGCAAAATTGATGAGGCAGAGGATGTCATACTTTGAGAACATTATGAGCAGGCATTGTTGGAAAAGACAATAAGCCTGGGAAATGCAGCAGGAAAGGAGCAAGAGCAAGTATGTGATTGATTGACTCCCTAAAGAAAGTCACAGCTTTCAGTTTACAAGAGCTGAGCAGGGCTATTGAGGACAGGACATTTTGGTGGCAATAAGATCACCATAAGATGGAGGTGACCTAATGACTAATAGTAAAAAAAGCATACAGTGGGGCTGCGCACGCCCTGTAACCATTAACATAACTAAGATTTATTTATTTATTTATTTACATGATTCTTTTAGCTGCGTGATTACCAATGGTCTTTGAGTGGCGATGTAATACTTATCCTTTGTCACATTGTGATCTTAACAACTTAGTTATTCCGTAGGGTTTTTTGGGTGTTTTTTTTTTTGAAAATGAATTAATATCAAGCAACTTGTTATTTGTAACTGATAATTTCCAAGTTCTATGAGCCACACTGACTTAAATTGCTTTTTTTGTGCTGAATTAAGGGAGGATAAAGCCGGGTAATTCATGGGGTTTTCATTAAATAAAATGGGAGCAAGATGTGTTCTGATTCTCCCTGGACTTCAAAGAAGTCCAAAGGCTCATTGTAGATTGCATACTCAAGTTAGTCATCTGATGAAATGTTTTCCCACACCCCTTCCATTCAGTGTAAGTTTATATTTAGAATTGGGTTTCTCATAATGGTCATTCATTCTGAACTTAGAACAAAGTTGTGGTGACTGTTATAGATTAATTAGTCCATATTAAAAGCATGAAACACTTATTTTATTCCACTGCATCCTGCCACTTGAAGGCATATAGTCAGATGGTCAGCTTTGTAAGGGTCATGCTGTATTTTTTTCATTAATCTGCCCCACTTGGAATACATGTGTCCTGTGTTGAGAACAGTGCAAGCCACCAGCTCCTCTGTGTAGCAGACAAAAGAAGCTGGAGGAACCAGTGTGAGTCCAGTGATGTTTTATCCCCATGCTGTTCTGTTGTGCAAAACATGGAAGCAGACATCTTCCCTATTCTTGCCATGGCTTGATCATCAATAGCTAATTGTAATTACTTGGGTCACCCTTTATTGAAATAAGGCCTTCTAGTTAGAACTGGCTAGGTAGCTGAGTTAGATGTCTGGATATAGAGCCAGAGGTTGCAAATTTAGTTCCCCACTGTGCCTCCAGAGAGAAGAGCCAGCCTCTTTGGCCTTGGGTAAGCTGCACAGCATCAGAATACTCCCAGAAGAAGGAAATATTACTTCTGTGTACTCTCCACCTAGAAAACCCTGAAAAGTCAGAATTGACTTGAAGGCACATCATAATTATTTATATTAGTTGCTCCTTAAGCCATCCTTAAGATACTAACGATTCTTTTGGACAAATACTGCCTGCCATTGGGTTGGTTCTGTACCCTTGCAGTGTCTTTGTACCTATGCAAAGAAATGCAAATTGGCACAATGACAGGATGTACTATTGTTGCCATCACCTCCAGAAACATCTCTCCTTGTTCTGCAGAGTCTGCCTTAAAACACCCCAAGATTTAGAGAAGCAGGGTAAAAGGGGACCAAATCATTCTGTAGTAAGTTATCATGGGTTTCCTCTTTACAAAGCATGCGTATTTATTTTATCCCCTGGCTGGTAAGGATTGTTTGGTCAGCATAGAAAGACTCTCTTGGTTGGTTTGTGGTGGTACAATTTTTCTTTTGGGGGCTGAAATTTTGAAGGGTAATCGTGTTCCTGGGTCACACTGTGAGTCATGCTCGTGGGCCACATGCAGATTGTGGACTACACAATTTGTGCTCTCTCTTCTAAACTGAACTACAAGAAGGTTGCTGACAAATTGGAACAAGTTCAGTGGAGGGCAACTGGGATGATCAGGGGGCTGGATACCAAACCTTATGAGGAAAGACTGAAAGAACTGGGCATGTTTAGCCTTCAGAAAAGAAGACTGAGGGGAGATATGATAGCACTTTTCAAATACTTGAGAGGCTGTCAAACAGAGGTGCAGGATCACTTCTCATTCATCCCAGAGTGCAGGACACACAACAATGGGCTTAAGTTATAGGAAACAGGATTTCGGTTGAATATCAGAAAAAAACTTCCTAACTGTTAGAGCAGTACGACAGTGGAACCAGTTACCTCAAGAGGTGGTGAGTGCTCCAACACTGGAGGCATTCAAGAGAAACTTGGAAAATCACCTGGCAGATATCTTTTGATTGTATTCCTGCATTGAACGGGATTGGACTTAATGGCCTTGTAGGCCCCTTCCAACTTCATTATTCTATGATAAACAGAAGAGCAGGAGTCTGCAACAAGTGGCCCTTAAGACATTGTTGACTGGCAGTTCATGTCTACGTAGTCAGCATAATCATTGGGGAGGATTCTGGGAATTGAAGTCCAGCAACATCTGAAGAGCCAGTAGCTACTTCACCTTGCTTTAGCCTAGAGAGGTAGAACATTTTTTGCTTTTATATGTGATTAAGTTGATTCTGACCTAGAGAGACCCTAGAAGCATTTTTGAGGTATGTGAGATGTTCAAGGAGTAGTTCACCATTGCTATATCCCAGTGAATTTCCATGACCATTTTGACCCTTGACCTAGTCCCTCTATCCACTATCTTGCACTGGCTCTCACAGTATGTGCTTCAGGTGGACTTTATTTTTTCTTAGAAATAGTGACCCTTTCATTTAAATCATGGTGGAATCCCTGCTATTCAACAGAGTGAATGGTGGCCAATGAGACGCAAAAGTCAAATACCACTATTCTAAAAGACAAGTGAGTTGTTAGGTAGAGGCTTCCCTCTTGCTCCTTCACAGTGAAATTGTTTTAGAAGCCAGTATGAACGTGTGTGTGCTCTGCTTCCTTTTCAGATGGCTTTGTTGATGTGCTCCAGGCATTTGGTGTGCAAGAGGGCGAGAACGGGGTCTCCATTGCTGCTGGGATTTGCACTCAGAGGAACGGATCGGAGGAAAGCGACCTGGCCTTCCGCCTTGAGAACCGGACACATTTCATTGCCCCCACAAAGCAGCTCTTTCCTGGTAATGGGAAGTGGGGAGAAGCCTAGCGGGGTAGAAGATGGCGTCAGCTTCAAAGGAGAGGCACACATGCACTTGAGAGCTTCTTCAGCTGTTATGCCATTCGATGTCTTGAAAATGTAGCCTAAACAAATAGAGATGTCCAGCCTTATATTTCTGGACTATTTCCCCTGCAAAATAGCCTGGCCTGGCCAAGCTGTATCGGGGATTTGGTGAGCTGTAGTCTGGAAACACAAAGCCGCACATACCTAAAAATGTGTCGTCTGAATGGAAACATCCATGTCATAATCAGGCACATATGGAGAGCTAGGATTGGCTGATTTTTTTGGTAGACTTGGGCTTGCCCTGTGTAATGCAGAAAGAGGCTTTAACCCATTGCCTGGTCCAGATGTATTTCATGTGGATGATGCTTCCTAATGCTGGTGTGCACATAAGAGCTTGATTTCTGTTCCTTTTGAATCTAATTGTTTGAGACAGAAGCATGTCTGTATTAGTGCTACAGTGGAGTCAGGCCTGGCGTGGTCAAAGCCTCGCAACATCCTAGGTAATAGGGATGATGATATCACCCATCACCCCTCAGGCTTCCTTATTCCTTGCCTCTGAGCTTAGCTGCAATCTTCGTGTAAGTAGGAAACAAATGCATTATACTAGTAACATAATACTGTTGTAAGCTATCCCTGTTAAAATGCAAAATATTTGAGGGTAGCTTGGTCTTGAATGTGCAACTAAGAGTCATTCACTTTATTAAAGACCTATTCCTCACTTGTCCCAGCTCCTCGCCAACCTAGCAGTTCGAAAGCATGCAAATGCAAGTAGATAAAGAGGGATCCCCTTGGTGGGAAGGTAACAGTGTTCCCTGTCTAGTCATGCTGGCCACGTGACCATGGAAACTGTCCACAGACAAACGCTGGCTCTATGGCTTGGAGACAGAGATGAGCACCGTACCCTAGAGTCGGACATGACTGGACTAAATGTCAAGGGGAACCTTTACCTATTCCTCACTACTGTGGAAGGACTGATGGAGCAGCTTGCAGTTTTGGTCTCCCTTACAAGTGGTGATTATAGAGGCTGCCATGAGTGCCTGTTGCACATTTGCCCAGACACTTGTATGTACATTGTATTCACAGCCACAGACATATTCCATTTCCTGTTAACCCAATGGTCTAGATTCCTGCACTGCAGAGATACTGCTTTGTTTTCTCTTTTCCCCACTGCTGTGTCTGTACTTCTAACAGATTTCTGTGCTTCTACCCATGCTTGAGCCTCTCCTCTCCTCTCTCTGTAGGGAACTACAGTCCATTTTACATTTACACATCTACTGCTATTTCATGGTCCCCCATCACAAGGTTGGAGAGCCTGTGGCTTTCAAGATAGTCAGATACTAGTCCTGTTGGGCTATCTAGTTTCACCAGTCTTGGGAGTAGCAGCAGTTCCTCAATCTCGGAAGACTCAATGGGCTTCCAACCCTATTTCATCCGGTTTTTTAATGTAGGATGGATCATCAGCCTCCCCATCAACCTCTAATACTTCATTTAGTCTAGTCAGGCTTGTCCAACCTTGGCCCTCCAGATGTTCTTGGACTTCAACTCCCAGAAATCCTGGCCAGCAAAGGTTGTGCTGAAGGCTTCTGGGAGCTGTAGTCTAAGAACATCTGGAGGGCCAACGTTGGACAAGCCTGGTCTAGATCATGAACTCTTGAAGAAGGTTCAGTGAAAACACCTCGGTCCTCCTGGTGGCACAGATTTTCATCCTAAATAAGTAAATCTAGACTGTAGGCAATATAACCTTTTAAAAACAGACACACACACACACTGATCATGATGTTGGCAGGGTAGTGGTGGCTCTGGAAGGTGGATTCCCTAAAAAGGAATGCTTCCGAGCTCTGGCATATTTTGCACACTCTTCGTCAGGGCTCATTCCTTCTTCTTTCTGTACGGCGAGAGGCCATGGAACTTTCTGGGATGCACAATCCTGGACTACAGACCACCAGGAAATCTAACTGTATCCTACTCAGATATTTGAGGACTCACCAAGCATTCTAGCTTTAGGAGCTATCACAGTCTAGTTTTAGACAGCAGAAGATGTGGTGTCTGGTTAGAAATGTGGGTCTAGCTGTTTTCATTGCAGTAGCAATCTTCCATCCATGCCAGAGCATGTAGCTGGAGGGGGGAGGTTTCCATGATTTGCTTCTGCTGGCTTTTGCTGAAGAACCCTTCTCCTCTACAGCTAATTTTGATATGAGAGCTACTGGTTTAGCCACGTTGGTCCCCACTTGCAGTCTCAAGTCATTTAGCACAGACAGGATTGCCCCTTTAGTGGAGGATAGGCTGTAGATAACTGCTTGAAACGTCATCTTTTTAGAAAATTTTTGGTAGACCTGGGGCGGGGAATGCATGGCATTCTTGAAGATGTTTGAGTACAACTCCCATCAGCAGTAGCTTAGTAATTAGTGATGAAGTATGATGGGAGTTGAAGTCCATCAACATTTGGAAAGTTACACTCCTGATTTAGATGGAAGTATGGCATAGAATGTCTGATCCTGCATAAAGCTTTGAGGCTATTTTTTAAAGCTACAGTGGCTTGGGATTACATGGAAATGCTTCTTCCATTTTGCTTTCAGAACTAAATCTAACATGGCACAGCAGAATGTCAAACCATACATAGACCTAATAGTAATCAGGGCCTGAACGGAGGTCAAATTGTGAGGGTAGTGTAGTTTGAAAGGGTTCTTTAGTTTTTTTGCTCTTTCTTTCCTCACACATTGGCTTTTCCCCTCCCTTTCTTTGCAGACAGACCCTTTCCAGTGGACTTCTCAATATTAGCTACCCTGCGAGCACTCAAAGGTAGCCAGTCATTCTTGCTGTCCATGCACGATGTGCGAGGTGTCCAGCAGCTTGGTGTAGAGGTTGGCCGCTCCCCTGTTTTCCTGTATGAAGACCAGCTTGGCCACCCAGCACCTGAGGACTATCCTCACTTCCGTCGAGTCAACTTGGCTGATGGCAAGTGAGTTGGGATTGGGATGGGGAGGGTGGAAAGAAGCCTCTGGATGTCATTATCTGGCTGTTTCCATAATGGAGAGGAAAAGAGTAAGGCATTTTGAGGCAGAAGGCTCTTCTCAATAACCTTGCAACATGCTGTGCAACTATTCCATCTTATTCTTAGCAGGCTTCCCCCCTAGTATTTAAAAAGAACAAGCAGCCACAAAAGCCAGTGCTCTGTAGAGGCTATACCTAAGTCTCTAAGGCAACTTCCTCTCTTCTTATGTTCCTGTGACCAAGCAATGATAGAATGGTATTGGGCTTTAAATTTTAAACCAGAAGAAGCTAGGCCAAACCTATGAGAACAATGAATGAGTGCTGAAGAGTGTTTCCCAGCAGGACAAGACTTTATCTGGATTTCCTGGGTGTTACTTAATAGATGTCAAAGTGAAGTAGGAAGACTGAAGAATAATCAAGTAAAATGGGGCGTCTTGAATACAGGACACATTTTTGTGACTGTGGAACAATTCAATATTTGCGGCACTTACGGGCATGCAATTTATGCTCCACCATCTGTACTAAAGAAGATCTAGCAAATGGCCGAGATAATGCGTTTGAAGTAGCCAGCTTCTTGTCAAAAATCATATAATTATCTTAACACGTTAATTTGTTTTTAAGTTTACCTATATTATGCACCCATGATTTTAATTTGTGCAATGCTATGACACAAATAAATAAAAGGCTGTGGGATGCTTCTTTCCCCCCAACTTGTATCAGTTAGCCAGATGCAAAGGTGAACTGAGCTGCCAGTAGGATGGCCATATGAAAACGAAGAGAGGGCTCCTGTACCAGTAATAGTTTGGTAGAAACAGACATTTCAGCAGATTTAGCTTGTTGCATGAGCTATATGTGCTGGCATTTCTTCATTGACACAGCTCCTTAAGGTACAGGAGCCTTCTCTTCCATTTCATGTGGCCAACCTTCCTTCTGTAGTCAATCTTCCTGTTGTTGCTATATAAAACAGATTTCGTAAGCATGGTTTGTCATCATAGTCTGCACCAGTGTTGAACAGAAGTCTGGACTTGCATTCAGTGTCCCATTTCTTGGTACTGTACATAATACCCAGCTTGCTCAGCTGTCATCATCTCTTGACAGGTGGCATCGCATTGCACTGAGTGTGGAAGGTGAGAATGTATCTCTAAGTGTTGACTGTGAAGACCCTGTAACTTTGCCCCTGAAGCGAGGTATGGAGCCTGTTGTCAGTGTAGAGGGAGTCACTTTGCTTGGTGCTCGCCGGCCAGATGAAGACATTTTTGAGGTAGGAACAATGGTTGTTGTTTAGTCGTTAAGTCGTGTCTGACTCTTCATGACCCCATGGACCAGAGCATGCCAGGCCCTCCTGTCCTTCACTGCATCCTGGAGTTTGGTCAACTTCATGTTGGTCACTTCGATGACAGTGTCCAACCATCTCGTCCTCTGTCGTCCCCTTCTCCTCTTGCCTTCACTCTTTCCCAACAATGGTACGGTACCCTTAAAATGCTTTCCTTCCCTCTCTCCATCGCTTCCTTCCATTGCTTGCTGTTTCTCACTCTGACCTACTTCACAGGGTTATTGACTGAATAAAAGGGGAAAGAAGAACACTTATTGGAGCAATTCCTTTTGTTTCTCTCCTGTTAAAGACCAGAGGTTAAGATGACTGTTCTGACTTTGGATGTGGAGAGGACTCATCCATAATCTAATAAGCAGTGATGAATAAGCTCCTTAAAGTTAGAGCCCGGAAATGTACCGACAGAAGTCTCCCTAGGAAAAAAAAGTTACTTGTGGTATAAGTAAAAATCTCCTGCACGTAAGGCCCAGTGGTGGCATCAGTTTTGTTTCTTATGACATCTGCTAAATCCAGATCCATCCGGTTCCCTTTCGAGTCATGTCCATTGTCTTCTGTGTGTCTGGCAGGAATTCAGAAGAATGGGTGGTGCCACTAACCTCGCAGCAGCCAGATGCCAACTGCTGCCCTAACACCCACTTTGACACCCCAGGAAATCTAAATTGCTGCCAGAATACAGAACCCAGATGCCTCATATTCAACCCCATTTTCCCACCCCAATCCACCCCCATTTTTTCCAGCTTTTCCTTTCTGGTCCATGGCCCTAATGCGATTAGGAAAACTTGGAAGAGCTAGCTTTTGTATTTGCCTGCACTGGCTTCCACATTTATATTGAGAATTTTTGCATGGAAATAGAGCTGTACTTGATTTCAGGCAGGTTGGGGTGAAAAGCAAGGACACATTGATCTTGTAAAGGAGAATTTTCATTCAGGTGCCTTGTCACTCACCCTAACCCTTTCCTGGTAAGAAGGCTGAGAGCCAGTGTGGTGTAATGAATAGAGTAACAGACTAGTCTGGTGCCCTTCAGATGCTTTGGCCTACAAATCCCATCAGCCAGCCTACAAAACGGTCAGATCATGGGATTTCTAGTAGAATCCACCTGGGAGGCTTAATACATGTAGGTTTGAGAGGATCCAAAATAGGCAATGAACTGAAACATAGGGATGTGAGGCAGCCCATCTAGGAGAAGGAAAACTCCGATTTCAAACCTCCACTGCCTTGTGGCTATATCCATTCATGGAAAAGGCTCCAGGAGTTAACCTTGAGGCAAAATCCGGAGCTGGAGTCCTGAAGGCAGTTCTTGTCGTTCTGCCAACTCCTGCGACGCTGCCGGAACCAGTCGTATTGGCTCTTGCCTTTCCCTTGGACCATTTCAGCAATGTGGAGAGGGGGGATCTACTGCTCGGGTAACAGCCTATCCTCCATATTACTTTACCCAGGCTTCATGCTGTGGAGGGGACACTCCTCAATTCAGAACATGTTACCATAGTCTTTCGAGACTGAATGATGCCTATGCTAGGGATGTGAGGAAAGCATAAGAGGGAGAGAAGAAGCACCAGGGTAGACAGGGCAGTGGTCCGCCACAAATATAACATTCTTCATTGTTTCAGAAATGAAGCATGTCCATTAAGTCCTCCAGATGTTCTTCTAGTGAGAAGAACCCTAACCTTGCCTCAGAAATTCCTAATCTCATGACATTGATCCCCCACAGCCTACAGACTCCAAAGAGCAGAAAAAGCCCTCAGCCCTCCCTGGCATTCTTTCCCCAGACACATAATGTCAAAGGGCAGGAGGGCCTTAAAGGCATCTGGGCTGGGTTCTGGGGGTGGCCGCCAAGAACAAGCACTTCTTGTTGTCAGCTCTTGGACAGCCTTGGCCCTGGGCCATTTGCCTTGGGGGGGAGCTCAGTTGTGACAAGGGAGTGTGTGATGGAAACTTTGACCTAGCCTTTGGAAAAGTTACTTTTTGGACTTTAACTCCCCTGCCCCCCCCCCACTGGTCATGCTGGCTGGGAAATCCTGGGAGTTGCAGTCCAACGGGTAACTTTTCCACAGTCTGCTTCAGCTTTTCCAGCTTTGGGGTTGCGAGGGAACTGTCAGTGACACCCAAAGTGTGCTAGGGCTCGCCGCTACTGAATGTGTTTGTGCATGGTAAGGAAGGAACTTGCAGGAATGTTCTCCAGCAATGCGGCATGCCTTTTCCACCACACTTCTCCTTGTTATCCTCTTTCTCCTCCTTTCAGCGAGGAATGTAACTAATCCTCCAGAAGCAGAATCGAGTGCTGTAGGCAAAAGCGCAAGGGAGCCTGCAAGGAGAAGGGGGTGGGTTGGGCAGGGAGTTGGAGAAGGACCACAACGCAAGTGTGGGAAGAGCTATAATGTTTATAGGTCACAATTACTCTGCATTCTGCCAAATTGTGTTGCAACTGGACAGCAGGGAATTGTGCGACCACCCCTATTCTTCCTCCAACGTTATAAAAGCTCTTCCACACAGCAGTCACATGCACTGCAGTGGCACTGGTGCTGTAGCAGTGTTTCCCCATATTGAACATGGGCTAAGAAGTGCCTCCCAAAAAGTGCAGGGAGAGAGGGCATCGGTCAGAGATCCTTGGCCTCTCAGGGCTCTCCATCTGGCCATCACTGCTTTTGCCTTTCTTATTCTTTTTAATGGCACAAAACCCTGTCAGAGGGTCAGCTTGGTTGGGTGAAGTGTGAAGTGACTGTATATTCTTGGCTGATTCACCCCAAGTTCCTTCTGAATGCCTCCTTCCAAAGAGGGCCAGCTTGTGTGCCCTAAGGGCCTGTGTCTGTGATGCTTCTGCGGGGGCCGGGAAGAAGAGGGAGTGAGGACTGGGAAGGAGTTGTTGTGTGTGTCCATATGTGTGTGCGCGTGTGTGTGTGAGTGAGTGAGTGAGAGAGAGAGAGAGGGGGGACTGTATATGGGAGTGGGAATGAGTACGTGCGTTTGAGATGGAAAAAGAGAGATGATGTGTAAGAAATTGTGCAGACATCTCCACGACGGAGAATGTGTGTGAAGCAGGGAGAGCACAACTTGTTCCTGTTATGTATAACCCTTGCAGTGCTCAAGATTAACACGGCTGCCTGTCACCGTAAATCTCCTGAAACCCCAGCCCCGTAGTCCTCACCCCATTGCCCAAAGGAGCTGCCTCTCCTCACTGAGTCAATATGTGGGTAGAACTGCTGGATGCCCTCACCAATTCTGATGCTGACGGGACTCTTTTAACACAAACATGTTAGCCTGAACTCTGCAAGCAAGGAAGTGGGGATCTGGAGGATGTTTTAAAACTGTGGCCATCTCTGTGCCTTTTTAGCCAAACATGTACTGAGTTGTCAAACCTCCCTCCCTCTGTATATGCACATTGTTGGGATGTCAAGTTTTTGGTTGTTTTGTGGGTATATGTCATTCTTTTCTCTTTGTTTATTTATGTCGGTGGGAATCTGGATGTTCTCCTAGTCCTGTCTGCTTCTCTCCTTTCCCACAATGACTTCCTGTTCAACAAGGGGGCTTTCTCTGCCTCATCTAGCCCTTTCTATCCCTACACGACCCCGTTCCTTGGGACAGGATGACTCAGCCCCCCTTCCCCTCCAACGCCCCATCTTGTGGCTTGATTTCTTGTCTTTTCCTTTCGGGTGGAATGCTGGGAGCAGCAGAATAATTGCGGGTCCCAGCTGAGCAGGTGGGAGCAGGCGGTTCCGGCGGCTGTGCTGGATACAGGCCCACTGGCCATATTTTCCAAGATGATTTATGGGTAGCAAATGTTCTTTATGCACCAGGGCTGGCTGGGATTTCACAGGCTCAATGGTGGGAGCCGGGACAAGTCCAGCTGCAAATGAATGTGTACTTGCATACATGCACAGTCATCGTAAATTGGCATAGATTGTTGTGGAAATCCTGCTATTGGGCAACAAAAGTGGCTGAGACATCTCTCCTTGCACTGAACCTCTATTGGCGTATATTATACAAATATTCAGGCTTTCAAACTACACAGAGCTCTTTGCCAGGCTTTATCAGTGGTTTGACTCAGAGTCCTGCCTTATCCAACCACTTCTTTCAAGCAGGGTGGAAAGGGAGCAAATCCTCAAGTGGCTAATAGGCAAATTGAAATGCAGTGTCTTCCCCTACCAAACCCATTTTAAAAGTAGGTTCTATAGTCAGTTAAAGGGAAACTGGGGTTGATATAAGCCAGGTCCAGAGTTGCATTGATGTGGATTGATGTACACAGTGCTTCAGGTCAAACTGAAAGCTGGACTGACAGCCACTCGGGACCAGGGAGTTCCCTTTCTATTAGACAACAATGGGGAAATTTGACATTTGCCGAGCTCTAAAGCTAGCCAAGATCTAATTGAAATGGCTCCTTCCAGAAAGAAACACTCTGGACTGAGGTTGTATGAGAGCCCACGGCTATTGCACCTTTTAAGAGATGGCGATCCTTATCCTACATGTCGTAGCCAGGACAGCTTTCTCTTGACTGCTCTTTGGGTGACTCTGAGCTGTGCTTTTCCTACCCCAAACTTGCAGAGTGGCCATATGCCAAGAAGAAAGCCTCTGGCTCCCACGCCCATGCACTTTAACGAAGGAATCATAACCCTGATTTCGTAAGGCTCAGCTGAGGCTTCCTGGAAGACCACCTGGGAAATTCGGACAATCAGGCCAAATTATATAAAATAATTACTAGTAATACTGTAGGATGTGGGGTGGTCACTTATGCAGAGCTAAAAAAGGAGGGTATGTGTCACCAAAAAGGGGCACAGAAGAAGACTGATCAGAGGGCACAAAATGGCATACAACAATTTATAGGTACAGATGCAAAATTAAAAAGTCATCATCATCTTATAGTAAGACACATGGAAACCAGAGAAACCTGTGGTTATTTTGGATGTTGATAGACTTCTTCTCTCACAAGTGCTTGTCACTGGCAACATTGGCAAGATCTAATGACATCTGGAGATTTGGAAGACCACAGGTTCCCTCTTCTTGATACAAACCCACATACCTTCAGAATCCTTAGGCACAATATTTTTGTTTGTTTGTCCAGTAATTGTGTGTGCGTGCATGCACACACACATGCATTTGCACACATGCATGTATTCACAAAGATATTCCGATTGATGATGCTTGTGCTTGCTCTTCCTCCTCTTTCTTGCAGGGTGATCTGCAACAACTGCTGATCGTCCCGGATCCATCTGCCGCAGCCCACTACTGCCAGCATTACATGCCTGACTGTGATAGGCAACTCACCTACAGGTTGTACACTCAGGATACTGAAGAGGTAGGAGAACAAACAACGAGGGTTATTGGTGACCGGATTCTGTGTCCATGGGAGGACAGAGTCAGCATCCCCAGGTTATAGCAAGCTGGGTCTGCCTCTCTGGGCTGAGCAAGCTGGGGCAAAATCTGAGGCCCATAGCCCCTTCAGAGACCCACAGGTCTAACCAGTGAAGAAAACTTTCCTTGAGACTAGAGCAAACATGGGTCTAGTTATTCATGTAATCTTTCTCCCATTTCTGAAATGCCAAGGGCTGTTCTCTCCAAATAATTATTTCTCCCCATTATCTAGATATTGGCAGCTAGGTTCCATTGCTTATGGAGACCAAACGCCTTGCTAGGCTGAGTGAGGTTAGGGCTTACATTGGCAGAGCACTTGTTCAGTAGGAGAATTTTTATGTTAACAGGTAGAACCCTTGTCAAGGAACAGAATCTCCTGTATACATCCAGTTTTCATTCTTTACAGATCCCATTTTCCACTCTGTGTAAGCAGATGAAGACAATTGACCCACCCCTCCCATTTTTTGTAACCTTGCTGACTGCAGACTGTCTTCCATTTTGCCCCTTGCTAGGACTGAGGACTTATGTTAGAGTTTAGCTCCTGTCAAACCTAGTTAGGAAAGCCAATGGGTGAGGGATCATGGACTTGCAGCCTGACAACACTTGGAGGGATATATGGTCCCCATCTCTGGCATGCAAGATACAGGGGAGAGTAGAGAAATGCTTTGAGATGACCCCATATTTGGACCTGCATTTCAACATGTCTCTGTCAGGTAGACATTTGCAGTGTACTTTATGTCATGAAAATACCCTTGGCGATGTGGCAAAAAAAAGGGCATGGTTTGATTGGTACAGGTGTGAAGACTTGTCTTTTGTATGCATGATGCTCCACCAAGGGTCCAAAGAAACCTTCAGTTAGGCCCTATCTCATATAGGGTCCTTCAGTGTGTCCCCATAAATTACATCTCCCATGTGCTGCACACTGGCAAGTATATGAGGCTTTGATGCTGAAACAGCTCTGCAGATGGTGGAAGCAAGGTGTGGTGAAGCTATATTCAGAAAACCTGTCTTTACTATATCATTGATGGTCTTTCCAGAGTCCTCAACATCAAAGCTTTAGCATATATAAAATAACTAAGGGAAGTGAAGGCTCTGGGCAGCTTGGCCTCTTAAAGTGACTCATCCAAGGAATAAAAACCTGACCAGAAATGTCGCTATATGGTTAGTCCTGCTGGCTAAGCAATGGAGTAGAACCTTTTATCTTCATGGTAATTGGTCAATCTCAACTAAACAAGAGTGTTGGAAAAATGGATCTTCAAAGCCTTTATATTGCAATTGGAATGGCATCTATCACCTGCCTTTAGAACCGAAGCACTGTTTTGGCTGGATTCGCTGTTGGAACATTTAAGTATGGACCATCTCATATTGAAACAATATGCAGTGAGGCTACAGTCATAAAACTGTAGATTTATCACATTTCCATGTTATGTTAAGCCATGATTTGTGCTAACCCCAATTGCATAGCAGATGTGAAAGCAAACTATGGCTTTTCCTCCCTCTATGCAGGGGATGGATAAAGTGGATAGGGGGAAGCTCTTTTCTCTTTCACACAATACCAGAACCAGGGGGCATCCACTCAAATTGAGTGTTGGGAGAGTGACAACAGACAAAAGAAAATATTTATTTACCCAGCATGTCGTTAGTCTGTGGAACCCCTTGCCACAGGATGTGGTGATGACATCTGGCCTAGATGCCTTTAAAAGAGGATTGGACAGATTTCTGGAGGAAAAGTCCATCGCAGGTTACAAGCCATGATGGGGACGTACAATCTGCTGGCTTAGAAGGAAGGTACCGCCAAATGCCAGATGCAAGGGAGGGGTATCAGGAGACAGGTATCTAGTTCTCTCATGTGTTCCCAGAGGCATCTGGTGGGGCTACTGTGAAACAGAGCAAGCTGGACTAGATGGGCCCTTGGTCTGATCCAGCAGGGCTCTTCTTATGTTCTAGTTTATTTTTGTCCTGCCTCATTTGTCAGTTCCTTTTTCTGGCTGGACAGCTAAGGAATCAAGCCAAATTTGCAGGTTTGGATTCCACAACAAGCCACGATTTAAATAAGCCAGAGTCTATAAGCCAAAGACCTATAAGCCATAGGTTCAGAATGTGGTTTGTGGCTGGTCAACCAACCATGACTTGTTTATGGAGTCGGAGTTGCACTTTATAACAAGCCAGATTTAAAAAAAAAAATCCACCGTGGCTTGTTCTGACTTGAATGCTATCAATGTGTGGAAATATGCTTTTTAGTTCCATACTATGAATGCACACTAGAAAGGACCAATAGAAATCTGAGTTGTTTACTTAATGGCGACTGGAGATTGGTTCTGCAGCCTTTCGGATGACCAGCAAAGAGATCTCAGGCAAATTGGGATTAAGTCCAAAGGCATACAGCAGAGTTCTGGATATGCTGGGACTGCAGGTAGAAAGTAAGTATGTGAACAGAAGGGGCATGTCTGCATCATTACTGGATCAGAACAGTTTTCCTAGGAAACTTAACTCAGTCCCCCAGCAAGAAGAGAGAAGTCTCTTGGATGACGGGTCTGTTCTGGGTGCAGCTCCCACCAGGTGCTCCTCTACCCATCTCTCCCTCGGGAATGGGTTCTTGGTACTTGGGTGTGGGGATGGTGCCTCCTGGTGTTCCATGGGAATGGAGGGGTGGTGGTGTCTCTTTTCTTTCTCAAGTGCCTGCTTTCTCTCTCCCCTCCTTCATTGTTTTCTCCCCTTCTTCTGTCCTCCTTCCCCCCTGCCCCATTCTGTGCAGAACATTCCTCGCAGGAAGGGCAAGAAGGGCAAGGGCAAAGGAAAGGGCAAGGGCAGGAAGAGAGGTAGAGGCAAGAAGAAGAGGAACAAGGAGTCACCCGAGACATTCTCGCTCCCTCCAGCCCTGGGCCAGGTAGAGAGTGCAACTAACTGCTCTCTGCTGGCCTAATACCTTGCAGCCTCTGCCCACCTAACTTGTGCTTCCTGACTAACCCACACAATGACCTGCCGCTTTTCCTCTTGCTTTGTCCCAATGGCTTCCTCAGGCAGTTTATCTTTCTGCTCAGTGCTTCTCTGTTGTGTCCACGCTGTTGCCAGTTTGCTCTCCTTGGGCAACCATAGGAGTCATGTTTAACGGCTACTGGCCTGGTCATGGCTTTTAGGAGTTCTAGGCTCACCATCCTGCTTCTGATTCCACCGATGCCATTTGGCTGATAGGACTCTTTCTTCAGACACAGGTGAGTTTTTCCTGCCCAGGGACATGTCCTCCTCGCCCAACAGCATATCACTTTCAAATTTCCCATGAGTGTCAAATCATTAGTAATTTACAAAGTCAAAATGAGCCTATGGGCTTGATCAGCCCCTTTTGCCCATAAATTAATGCTTCCCAACCTTTGCGTCCCCAGATGTTATTGCACTCTATCTCCCAGATCTTGGCCAACACAGCTAGTGGTGAAGGCTTCTGGGAGTTTTAGTCCAAGAATATCTGGGGACCAAAAGTTGGGAACCATTGCCGTAAACTCAACTGCTGGAGCAGGGCCACATGTGTTTGCACAGTGATAGAAAGCCAGAGAAGTTCCTTAGGTAAATGTCAGAGAACCTTTTGGTAGATTATAGCTGATCCCTCTTGGTGTGAGGGTGTCAGCCTTTGCTAGGGCAAGTAAAATGGTATTTTAAGGGTGCAGGCGGAAATGAAAGAAAAATATGTAGATAATAAGAAAACAGGGAGTCACTTGGGCCTTGGTATTGTGAGTCACTACCTCCGGAAACTCATTGGAGAATGCTTGTTGGACAGAATTAGTACTTTGACAGACTTTTGACTTAGATGAGTGTCTTATTTGTTCATATATTCAAGAGGAGGATGAAGTGAAATGAAGAAACAACTACTGTCCCTGACAAGATCTTTTGACTCGATTTATTATTTCAGAATAAATTACTATGTAAATCTCAGCAGGGGTTACCCTTCCCTCAGCCTCTGGTAGGCATAATTCTGTAGAGATTCTCTAACCTTATGGTGTATTATTGAAATGTTATAGAATTACTTGATTATTATAAACAAGACTTAACATCTTATGATAAAGCTTTGAATCCTAATTATTTAAACTTACCAGAAATAGTAAAAAAGTCACACCACATATAGGCAAAAATCCTGTTGTGTAGTTATGTCAGTGAAAAGGAAATAGCATAACTCACAGAGGCAAATTGCCACTACTTAATGAGTAATTGATGCCCAGTGTTGTGTGGTAGATAGAGTGACAGACTAGGACTCAGGAGGCCTGGATTCAAATTTCTGCTCAGCCATGGAAACTCACTGGGGATTGGAACTGACAAAACTTTTCCTTAAATATCTCATCTTGAAAACCCTATGAAGGTTGCTGTAAGTCGGTTCCAGAAAAACACAGCAATGAGTCTGTGCTTGGATTCCTTATTGTACATCAGACAGGCTACAGTGGGGTCTTGACTTAAGCTTGAGTTAAGAACATTTTGACTTAAGAACCACTCTCACAGGAAAATATTGACTTGACTTACATACTTAGATTTGAGTAAAGAACTGAAAAAAACCACGTGGGAGGCAGGGAAAGTGCAAAATTTGAACTTTCAGTTAACTGTTAGCCAGTGAAAAGGGTGCCTGTCTGCTTCCTCACTCCTCCCAGCGTTTAAAGAGTGGATTGGGAGACAGTCTTCAGACTGCCTGGTCCTGTCCTGCCTGGACTGTATTTTCCCTGCCTTCCTTGAACCTTTAGTGACCTAAGAAAAAAAAAAGAAACAAAATATCTCCCTCTAGTGGTCGAAGGCGGAATAGCAGCTTCCCATTAGTTTCTTTGGTCAGAAAAGAGCAGATACGGATCAAATGGTTTTCAGTGCATTCCTATGGGAAATGCAGATTTGACCTGAGAACTTTTTGACTTGAGAACCGCCTTCCAATACGGATTAAGTTCTCAAGTCAAGACCCCACTGTACTTGATCCATTAGCCAGAATCCAAATAGGGACTCATTAGGTAGTGTCAATTTGCCACGGTGAGTTACACCATTTAATTTCCACTGACACGACAACACAACAGGATTTTGGCCATAACCTTTTAAATGGGTACTTCAGAATGTGGAATTGTGTATGTTTTTTCCTACATCGGCAGAGGGCTGGACTAGGTGCCTCCCAGATCTACAATTCTGTGATTCTCTATGAATCATAGAAGTACTCCTCTCAGAGGACTGGACTTGGTCATGGCTGCTTCTTGGCTGCATTTTCAGTTGTTTGTTGGTGTGAAAGGGCTTTTCAATACAGTTCAAAATTTTGAATTTGGGGTCTGGGTCTGGGGATCTTTGGATATGTAGAACAGGCCTAGAACTCAGAACTGTTTAGGAATCAAAGAGGCTTTTACAGCTATGGTATGTAGGGGGCTGCTTATACTGAGACAGAGTGTTGGCCATCTAGCCATGTGTTATCAACTTTGACTGTGAGTGACTCTGAAAGTTTTCAGGCAAAATTCTTTCCTAGCCCTTATCTGTGGTATTTTTGTTTCCTCCCCTCCAAGGGTTAACTAGACTCAGCCCTGCTTAGCTCCCAAAATCAGACAAGATCCAGTTGTGTTCAAGGTGGCGTGATAAAAGATAAGCTTTGCCCTGCAACTGTTCATCAGCATTCCCTCCCGTAAATAATCAAATATTTTCTTCCAAGTGAATCCCAGTTCCATCAGTCTTATTGACATAGGTATAGATGTCTTCCTGTGCTCATTGTATTCACTTCCTGTTCTCTACCTTCCTCCATTTCCTCCCACTACCAGCCTTTGTGTGTCAGGGCAGCATCCAGAAACTTCTGAAATATGGGTTGGGGGATGCTGAGCTCATCCTGCCAGTGAGTCACTCTTGGTTTGGCCAGGGAGAACTATTTCCCTGCCAAATCAAGCAGTTGGCTTAATTCCTTCCTCTGGGATCAGAACTCCAGCTGTTGGGTTGCTCAGTGTGTTGGCAGGGCAAATAGATTTCTATTTTCCTCTTCCCAGGCAGGAACTGCCACCCACCTGCCCTTCCTTTTATATATATACATACTGTATGTATGTGTATTCAAAATGCACTGAGATCAAACTACAGTTGGTCCTTTGGATAGATTTTGGCTCAACCCACTAGAATTGCATAGGCTGTGGCACACATAGAGATCACAGTCTGCCACACCATGAGATGTTTTAGCAAAACTGCAGTGGCTGCCAGCAAGTTCACGAGACTCATTTGCCACTCTGAAGTTGGTTCGCTCAAAACAAGAAGCTGCCTCTTTTTTTACAGATTTATCAACCCTACCCTAGGACTTGGCCCACAGCTAGGGAAATGACAGCAGCACCCTGTTGGAGGCCTGTCCGAACACAAGTTTAGGTTTTTGGGGAGGGGTAAACAAAACAAAACACAACCCACAACACATCTTGGTAGTAGAGCATAAGATTAGAAGGCTTACTTTGGGATATACTTATAAGAGGAGCCTCTTGATACAGTAGTCAAACTACAATACTGCAGCTAAAAGTCTGTTCATGGCCCCTGTTCACTCCCAGGCTTGAGGTATATTCAGCTTTCCATCCTTCTGAGGATAGTAAACTGAGTACCCAGCTTGCTGAGGGGGCAATGTATAAACTGCATAATTAAATTATAAACTGCCCAGAGAGTGCTTTAAGTACCATGGGGCCATATATAAGCAGCATGCTTCTGGTGAAACTGCTCCCAGTCTGCACTGTACCAGATCAATAACAAGTAAGTCAGTTGAAAAGATACAAGACAGAAGAACACTCCCTCTTAAACTGACTGTAGTTATTACAGTGAACAATGGGGACAGGAATGGAACGGAGACAGGAGAAGCCAAATGGAACTGATTTCTGATAAGAGCCAATGGTGGTCTTGTTTCCTGTCCTTTCTTTTGCTGAAGCCTCATGGAAGGAGCACAGTCAGCACAAGGATCAGGCGGTGGTTCCACCTTGTAGCGGCCCTTCAATTTCTTGATAACTTGGGCCTTAGCAGTAGCAGCAGATGATTTGCTAGCGGGCTATTACATAGTTCCCAGTTGCCTCTTTTTCTTCTAAATGCCCCCAAACACAGTGTGGAGCTTCTCATCTGCGTGCTAGTCAGGCTGTCTATGGTGGGGCTGGGAGATCGTGCCCAGATCACCCGATGTGACTGTCCTGTCCTTGAAACTGCTGGATATCCACTAGTGAACATGATATTATTATGGGGCATACGTATGTAAGATCTAACTCACATTGATTGAAGTAGATGGTTGTTAGCTCAGTGAACGTCAGGAGTTGTCTGACAGTATTCAGCTTTAGACAGAGTGTTGAACAGCGGCATGAGACTGATAGTTAACAAATACCACAAAGGAAAGTTGAAAATAACTGTATTCATTCTAGTTAGGATTGTCAGGTCTTTGGCTGTGTCCTGACGTTTCAGACTACAAGAATTCTTCAAGCTCTGCCCAGGAGGTAGTCAGCTGCAGGACAAGGGCCTGTCTCTAAAAGAGCAGGCTGTGTTGGGCTTGGCTGGAAACTCTCTATTTGTTCTGTTTCTGTGCCTGTTAGGCTGCATGCCTGAGGCATAAAAGTCCAACCAGGAGCTTCCCTTGAATTAGCCGGTGCCATTATGTTCCGCCCTTCTGCTTTCCTAAACTCCTCCTTCCCGATCTGCTAGCCAATGACCTCCTGTTCGAACATTTAGTTCTCCAGTTCCTCTCTTTGAATATCAAGATATGAGTCCTTGGGAAACATGTCAACTCAAAGACACTTCAGGACAATAGCTGATTGTTGTACATATCAGTCCTGACAGAACTCCCTGAGCCCAGAGGGGTGGTTAGTTCTCAGTTTTTACCCCAAGGCAAGATAACTATGTTTTCTTAGTAGGCCTGGACTTTTCTTTGCACTGTGACCTCTTTGGATGGCTTTTGGCTGCTGAAACATTTCTAACCCTATGGTAAAGAGCTATGCACTCACCTCTCAACGTACAATGACAAATGGATCGCTAATACACCAAGGAATCCCCAACTAAACATCTTATTTTCTTCTCTGCAAGTATGAGGCTGCGACTCCAGCTACACCTACCAAGGTAGCGGCTGAATTCTGGGAGGAGAGTCCCAGTGAGGCTCCTGGAGTCCTTGCCACTGTCACAGTCAGCTTGAACCTCACAGGCGACTATGAGGTAGGAAGACTTGGATGATGTCATGCACTGTGAATGACTATATAGGGCAATATTTATGCCTGTCAGTGGGTATGCGTATGAGTATGTATGAATGAGAGGAATGTGTGAATGGATTTGGGCGAATATGGGGTTGTATGTGGCTTCTGGAAAGTGTCTGATATGAGATATAACCTTTGATGTAGAAAAGGTTCTCTATCCATATTGTAGTCCATCTTTTTTTCTTAAAATCCTAGTTTTCTACATGCAGAGATGTTTGATGTTGGGGAACCTTCAGACATGGGTTGCACCCCTGCTTTCCAAGGGGTGGAAGGCAGCCCCAGTGAGTTTGTAGCATGTGCTGTTGCCCATTTGATACATCCAATTCTGTGAATCACAGAGACAGAAAAGTCTGTTTCCCACTTCCATGAAACTTGTGCTAAGGAAAGACTCTTACCTGGTTTTCTTGCCTTGAGATTCAGCACTCAGCACTCTACTTAACGTTACAACAGGGCTGTCTGCCTTTAATAATGTAGCATCCAGGAAAAATCTATTAGATTTTTCTTGGGAAAGGGGGGAAAATAGGAAAGAAAAAGAAAACTGAGAATCTGAGAAGGTGATCCTGCATGAACACTCGTCCTGTTGCTGAAGAAGTCGGTGCAGTGGCAATTCAGCTGGGCCTTACTGTGGGAGGTCTAGCTGGACATACCTCATCATGGTACGCTTTTGCATGTGACCAGCAGCACTTTATTAATTAAACTCCTGCTGGGAATATCCAGCTGTTCTTTTCTGCTTCCCTGGGGGTAATTCAAAAGAGATGCTGTGGACAGTTTTAGACTAGGGAACGTAACTGCTACTGTCTACAGCAGAAATAATTGGACAGAGTGTCTTTTTCCAAGCCAGCATTTTCTATACTCCCTTATTGAGTGTGAGAAATTGAGGGATCGCAGTTGATGTTCTTTGTCAGCATGGGGGATGAAAACAAAGCAAATAGCTGTCATTTAATCCTTGCAGACTGACAGGGCAAACACAGATTACTGTAGAAATAAATGTGGGAATGAGCCACTGTTGTTTGAGAAGCAAGGAACAAGTGGCATTTCTCCTTAACATTTAGCTTCAATTTGCATTCCTATAGTATGTTTTAAAAGTGCACACACATAGATTTTCTCTTACCCAGTAGTCTAATCTGGTTCACACATAGCCTTGTCATGTATATTGTACAAGAATACCCTTGAATAGGCCTTGGGCTCCGTTCACCCCTTCCACCATGCACTGAACATTTAGAGAGATGTTCATTTCTGTTCATATGTGTGATGGTGGTGGTTGCTGATGCTTCTGCTGTATATACAGCCTCAGGTCCTTTTAAGGAGAAAGCCAGGATAAAAATATTTAAGATAATGAATAAATTAAATAGATATACAAACATGTTGGTCACATGATAGGTGATTTGCCTGCTATAGGATCAAGACCTAAGATACATAGAAATGTGAACATGTCATAAGGAACTGTGGTGATCCCCCTTTTGTGCCCCTTATTTCTTTGGGCTCCATAAAGGTAAACTCGCCCTATTCCGCTGCCATCAGGTATTATCTGAATACCAATTCAAGTCCCACACACAGGAGCTGCTCATATAACTTAGGAATCAGGTTTTCAATTAAGCATTCTTTTACTAATGAACAAATAAAAAGGAAAATCAATATATAACTGGTTCAGGTGTTCATGTATAATAAATTATGTGTTCAATCACTAGTATTCAGAACTCCTGTGTACTTTAAATCAATATCTCCCATGTTTTACTTATAAGTTCATTCCTGCCTGTTACATGTGTGTTTTAATCTTTCGGTTTCTTTTCTGAACCCCTTTTTATCTATTCCTAAACCCTAACACTTTCTCAACATCTTTTGGTCCCTAACTCTCTCTCTCTCCCCCTGATTCCAACTGTCTCTAACTGTTCCTTCCAACTGTCTAACTGTCCTGTTAGCTCCGCCCCTCCTGCTCTATCCTCTGATTGACAGGCAGGAATGATGTCATCTTTTGGATTCCGCTACATACCTCCCCGCTTAGCAAGCTTGTTCCATGGAGTAAATCTATAGTGGTTTGCTCCATGAACAACGTAGAAGCAGTTTAATTTTTTCTTCAACTTATAATAACATTACACATTTTAAATTCACATTAATACTTACTCCACATATTTACCTCCACTCAATTAACATTTGCAATCAACACTTTCAGTTTGTTTGTTATTACACTTTTCCATTGCTTACCATTCTTTCATTTTAAAAGACAATTACTTTTGCAATTGCTTAATTTTATTTATACATAACTGGAACTGTTTATTACATTCTACATTTCTTTTCATTAGTCCATTTATTCTTCATTCGGTCTTCTTGCCCAAGTTTCAGCAGCTATCTTTTGAGTCTTTCTTTTCTTGCGGAATTTAAAGTCCAAACCTTGCAAGTTTCTCTTCCAGTTTGCAAGCTTGTTCTTGTAGGCTTTCCCAGTTTGTACTTTCATTAAAGGTACTAAGTCCGTGCATAGTCCAAGTTGTCCTTTCCCCTTGCACGGCTTGATCTCCTGTAACAACCACCCCCTTTTGTCATACTTAAGTTCCATCGATGCATGGTGTCTCTCACCCGTCTGCAGCTTTCCACTCAGGAACGTAGTTGGCTGATGATCTTTCTTGTCATCTGCTTGGCTCAGCACGGCTCTGGGTTCGAATCTGGGCACCTCAGCATGGAACTCCTTCCGGGACTCTACGCCTCTCACGATCAGACCGGCCATCACCGCCTCCTTCTGCTTCCCAACAACCTCCTCGCAGTTGCTCGCCCCCTGGATATTTTCAGCTTTCTTTTTGTGTGTTAGGTTAGCTATAGGGCTAGCTATTTCTCTATTTTCTGGTGAACACTTTGGAGTTGCACCTGTTGTATCCATGTGGTGCACTGCTCCCTGTGCTACCCCTTGTTGGTTTGCGTAGACCTGCTTCTGTCTTATCAGCAAGGCTCTTACTTTTTTTTGTTTCTCTAGGGAAAGTACTTCATTTCATTGTCAGTTTCTTTCCTAGCACCTAGGACCATGTTCTCCCTTCTGTAATCTGGTTCTATCATGTTTGTTTGAACCTCCTTCTGCCCTGGTTCTCTCATCTCTTGGGTTATATGATTTCTTTTGTTCATTTTGGAGATTATTTGGTGTGGATCTGCCCCATTTAATTGTAACTTTTTCCCTTTGAAGGGTTCTAGCTTCAGATCCTCATCTTTAGGGTTAAATGTTATCTCTTTGGCTTTTCTGTCAGCATCTATCTCCTGTTTCTGTTGCTGGCCCTGCACACCCTCTGCTGCAATCTCTAGAGGTCTCTGCCAAATGTTCCCTAAGTTATCTATACATTGACTTGTTGTTTTATGACCTGGCTTCCCCTCTATTTTTGAATGTATTGTTTCCTGTCTTCCTTTTGAGTTTGTATTCACAAAATTAACCTGTTTCACCTCATCTCCACTCTTTTCAAGTACTGACACCTCTCTGTGTTCCTGTTTCAGTTGATTAAAAATATTATTAATGTCTTCCATATAATTATTATAATCATCCCTACTCTATTTACACACATACAGTTTTTTGCTTTGTTTTCCCTGCCCCCATATTGGTTTTAAGAGGAAATGTGCTTCAGAAAGCTTCCCTTAAATATCTTCTGCTTGAAGAGATGAAACTCCCCCCATACCTTGTTTTAAAGAGACACACAGGAGGGAGATGGTCATACCCACCATAATGGTTAGAGCCTAGAGATGGCAGACCTGTGAAACTGATTGGAAATGTCACCTGTGGCTTGCATGGTGCCCACTATAGCGCTAAACATTCTATATGTGGAAAAGAAGAATGCAAGCCTGAGGCTGGCTCCTGTACAGAACTGTGTACATACACTTGGGTTATGTATGCATCACTGGCTCCATCACTAGGACTAGATGAGCAAAAGTCTTTTCATTTTTTTAAAAAAATAAGGAATTGAATGTGATCATTTGGAGGAAGGAAGGAGAGAGAGTCATCTAGGAAATCCACTAGTGCAGTGGTTTCCAGCCTTGAGTCATCAGATGTTCTTGGACTAAAACTCCTAGAAGTCTTCATCATTAGCTATGCTGGCCAGGATTTCTGGGAGTTGTAGCCCAAAAACATCTGGGAACCCAGTGTTGGGGACCCACTGCGCTAATGAGTTTGTAAAGCATCTGATGTAAATCAAAACACCTGGCAGTCTCCAATGTGTTTCATTTCTCCTCTCCTGATAGGACCTTTTTGGAGAAGAGTATGTCATCAGTGAAGACACAGACCTGGAGGCTAATGGCACTTACACAGCGTACGATGAGAGACTGGACTACAGGATGAGGGAATATGATGACTACTATGACAACAGGGATGCTGGTGAGGAGAAAGAGCGTTATGATCCAGCTGAGCGCACTGAAGCCACTGTCCAGGTTCCTCAGGTAATGACTGTAGCTGTATTTGCTCATGCAATACTTCAGCAGTAGAGAGATTACTGCAGAAAAAAAGCCCACTGTATTCTGTGGTACTATCATCGGTACTTTGAACATGGGGTATTCATTTGGATGCTTCACAGTGCTCATGTAAGTGCTGTTGAACTTGAGGAATCACTTTGTTGATGTGGCTAGCATATGCAATCTGGGACTACTTGTCACACACAACATTCATAAGTGGAGCTGAATAGAAGCTTGGTTGTTTGGGCACAGCATGTGTCCACTTGATTTCAGGCTGATGTAAAATACAGCAGTGCCTCACTATGACATGAACAGATCTTATTAATTTTGGTGGAACCAATGAACAAAGGAGAAGAGAAGATCAAAAGGACAAGGAAATGTAAATGGGAGTTAATTTGTTTAATTCCAGGATGCACCTAAGGGGAGATAATGGGAGATGTCTTTTACAGAAAGGTCTAAGAAGACCTTGTTATCAAGTGAGGAGGTTAGTCAGCTACAAGCACTGTGGCAAATCACATTATTTCTTCTGCTCTGCTCTGAAAAAGTATTTTGGAGCAGTGCTTCTTCATATTCCCCATTCCTCCCTAAAATTCTTAGCACTGATCCTTAGGACCATCACTGTTTATTATTCATTTGTTCATCTGTTTCATTAATAGGATGCCTTTCTCCTGAAAAGGGAACCCAGCATGGCTCACAATATTAAAAAGAATAGAATTAGGAACAGAATAAGTTTAACATTAAAAAACAATTAAACTATGTGCTAATTAAAGTATGATTGAATAATTAAAAGCTAGTAAATATTAAAAGCTATCTTAACTTTAAAAAGGCACTCAGGCACTCAATCAAGATTGTTAAAAGCCTGCCTGAAAAGATTGGCCTTCAGCTGTCAGCAGAAGGATAAAAGTAAAAGAGCCAGCCTCATCTGCCAAGGGATAACTTTCCATAATCTGGGAGCTGCCACAGAGAAGGCCCTCTCACATGTCCCCATCAGCCATGCCTATGATGCCAGTGGAACTGAGAAGAGGGTCTCCTGTGATGATCTTAAACTCCAAGAAGGACAAAGTCTAACTTGTTAACTAATCCACCAGAAGGAGAACAGAGGTCATCCAGAAGGTGTTTTGATCATCAGATGGCTCAGCCAGAAAGTACCACAGAGTTTGGCTTTATACCCTCTGTCCTGCTCCAGTCTCTTAGGGTGAGCAGAGAATGCCGGTTCAGCCATCAGTCCTTCTCCTGCCTTGAATGAGGCAGGTGTATGACCCTTTTAAAAAAAAGTCCACATGGTAATGTGTATAGATATCAGTGCTTGGGAAGCAGTTTTTCAAAGCCATTTGTTGTACATATATTTTTAGTGCCCCCTCCCTTGTATTAGTTAGCTATAATTTGAAAAAAAAATCTTACGCAGTTCTTCAAAAGTAACTAAAATACCTACCTTGGCCAGAAGCTTGTTGGTAGTCCCAAATAGAGTATACCCACTGAATAAAAATGGCATTAATGCAAATGTTGACTCACCATTGATTCAGTGTGTTTCTTCTGTTCTGGAGTAGCACCAAGATTTAACAATTTGAATACTGCAAAGATCTGACCTGTGGTATGAAACACACAGTCTTCCTGTCTGCCAAGTTTTATCCTTTACAACCCACAGCTGACCACAAGGCCCAGCACAAGGCAACCCAGGAAATGCTGCCATAAGGGTGCTGCTGGATCACCAGGTAGAGAGACATGTTGGTGATGCTGTATGGATTAGCCAAGAGTCGCCTTTGCAACCAGCTCCTCATCCTCTTTCCAAAAATATCCTTCTTCACCCTAATATTTGATGTAAGAGAGAGGAAAAGGACACTCTAAAAAGAAAGAGAGAAGCAAGGATGCTATTAAATAGCTACTTATTTCCTCCTAGAACATCGTATGTTTTTTTCAGAGTAAAGATATTGCTCTAATATTAACATCTGACGTTGATGTATAGGGACGTGGTGGCGCTGCGGGCTAAACCGCAGAAGCCTGTGCTGCAGGGTCAGAAGACCAGCAGTCATAACATAAGAGGATGTGTTGCCATAAGGGTGCTGCTGGATCACCAGGTAGAGAGACATGTTGGTGATGCTGTATGGATTAGCCAAGAGTCGCCTTTGCAACCAGCTCCTCATAGTCTTTCCAAAAATCTCTTTCTTCACCCCAACATTTGCAATAAGAGAGAAAAAAAGGACACTCTAAAAAGAAAGAGAGAAGCAAGGATGCTATTAAACAGCTTCTTATTTCCTCCTAGAACATTGTATGTTTTTCAGAGTATATTGCTCTAGTATTAACATCTGATACCTGTGGATAAGGGACATTCCCCCCCCCAATACCCCATGGGACTATTTGTGGCTTTCCCAGCACCATCCTCTTAGCCACCTCCCCTCCCGTCGCTTGTCCCAGCTCCCACCAACCTAGCGGTTCGAAAGCATGCAAATGCAAGTAGATAAATAAGGACCACTTCAGTGGGAAGGTAAATAGCATTCCGGGTCTAAGTCACACTGGCCATGTGACCACAGAAGATTGTCTTCGGACAAAACGCTGCCTCTGTGGCTTGGAAACGGGGATGAGCACCGCCCCCTAGAGTCGAACATGACTGGGCAAAAAATTGTCAATTGTCAATTAACATCTGATACCTGTGGATAAGGGACCTTCCCATGGGACTGTTTGTGGCTTTCCCAGCACCATCCTCTCAGCCACCTCCCCACCTTGTTACTCAGAACTGCCAGGAGCCACCAGGCCATGAGTCTGTGGGATCCTGGCATTTAAACCAGTCAGTTTGAATGGAGTTGCCACACTCTGAGCTTTGTGAGTCACAGAGACTACAGAAGTACCGAGGCATCTCTTCCAAGCATCTCCTATTCTTCCTGTGAGAATGTCAGCGATGCTACCTTGTAGAGATACCAAAAATTCAAGAGCTGGGGCACCTTTAGGAAGCATTGAATGACTTGATAAACTGGTGAGGCTGGCCTTGAAAGTCTAGAGTTAAGTTGGTACCCTTCTGATTTTGCTTTGCTTACTCTGTATGTGTGTTAACCTGTCTGCAAGTTTGAGATGTATATGTTTATAGAAAGAAAGAAATCTTACTTGCAGGCCATAACATCATCTATTATATAACTAATAAAATAAATATAGTAAATAAATGTTTGGTTCTGGAGCTTCATGCTAAGTTCTAGAATATCAAGCAGCTGACTTAGTACAGTTTTCCTTACCATTCCCTCAAGCTCTGGAAAATGTGAAGTGGCAGCTTTTCAGGGTCATATTCTTTTGGGAAAGACATCTGGAGGCTCTGAGTGTCTTTGTGGTGATGTTGTGGTGACAGGTCTCTTGGAGTTGAAGAGGAAAATCTTCCTGTCCAGAGTATCGTCTGCCACCCATTTCATGCTTCCTGGTTCTTTCTCAGTTTAGTTTCACTCCACACAGAAACTGAAGCTGGGAAAAATAAATTTTCCAAACACCATTTTGTAGTTACAAATTATTTTTATTGTAATGTAAAGTTCTTCTTCATGGCCTCTGTGAATCACATCCTGGGGTGATCTGCGCCTGTGCAGAGCCTCATCGGAAAGTTCTAGAGCTTCTGCGGTAGCAAAACCCACATTAGAACAAGGCCCCTCCTCCCTCGTACAAGTACCTTGGTGCCAAGGCTCCTTTCAGTTTTTTTTCCAACCGCCGTGTTGAGAGCCTCATAGTTCTGCCTCTGTGAGTAAAAGAAAAAGAGTTTATTCTTAATTCCTTCCTGTTATCAATCTTTTTTCCTTTAAACTTTTAGATCAAATTCATTATCCTCAGATCATCCTTTCTACTTCGCTCAGCCTCCGGCTGCAGCTCCCCGCATCATAGTTTTTTCTCCTCAAATCATTTTCTCCTATTCTTGGCCTATTCAAAAACCCATAAATCAAAGCACTTGATATTGAAATCCTCAATATTGAAGCCCTACACTAAATGTCAAATGTCCACCGAAGCCTCTTCAGTTCCGGAGCCTTCTCTGCCTAAAAGACCTAAACAGCATAAATCCAAAGCTGCCGTCATTTCTCAGCAGCCTCAACAAACGACCAAATCAATCTCTGTTGGTTCACCTTCTGACGATGATGGAAACCCCTCTCATCAACCCTGCTCCCAATCACCAGAATGGGATGACAGATTAACATCTTCTCCCAATCCTCAACACCAGTGCTCAAGCAGACAAACTGCAACCCCCAATCAGCCAGTTGCTCTATCCAGCTTGGCTGTACCTTCTCATGGCAGGCCTCAATCTTGACAGCCATTGCTGTCGAAATGGCCATATCACCATGACCCACATCAACTCCAAACTGCTCCCTACCTGGAAACTAAAAGACCCAGGACGGTCGAGCAATTTTCTTCTACACATGAGGCTTTTACAGCTTCAGCCTCCTGATATTTTTCCACTAATCCAGATGAGGGAAATCCTTCCTCTCACTCGACATCTCCAGCGTCTATATATTCCACTGCTTTATCAACTTGTCAACAACCTCCGTTTCGACATCACCGAGACACAGGCTCTGATATCGATTATCCTCAATATCCACCTTGGTCCACGGACACTTGTTCTGTCTCTCTATCAACGCACAATTTCCGTTGCCCAATAGAACCAAGCCATCAAACGCGACATCATTATGACCCCGAGTTCAACACTGATATCAAACAATGTCCATGAACACTTGGATGACATATCTCAATATCGAAAATCCTCAACACCGACAAAAGCCCTAGGACATGCTGGCTCCATCAACATCAAGCCAGAAACATCAATACCATGACACTCAGCCTATCAACACCGAAGTCGATCGACAATCCGTCGACTCCTGA